TCTAATTTACAACCCATTTTTTCAAATCTACAACTCCATTTCCAAATTTACAACCAATTTTTCCAAATCTACAACTTCATTTCCAAATTTACAACCCATTTTTTCAAATCTACAACTCCATTTCCAAATTTACAACCCATTTTTCCAAATCTACAACTCCATTTCCAAATTTACAGCTCTATTTCCAATTCTGCAACTCCATTTCCAAATTTACAACCCATTTTTCCAATTCTACAACTCCATTTCCAATTCTACAACTCCATTTTCTAATTTACAACCTATTTCTTCAAATCTACAACTCCATTTCCAAATTTACAACCAATTTTTCCAAATCTACAACTCCGTTTCCAAATTTACAACCCATTTTTCCAATTCTACAACTCCATTTCCAATTCTACAACTCCATTTTCTAATTTACAACCAATTTTTCCAAATCTACAACTTCATTTCCAAATTTACAACCCATTTTTTCAAATCTACAACTCCATTTCCAAATTTACAACCCATTTTTCCAAATCTACAACTCCATTTCCAAATTTACAGCTCTATTTCCAATTCTACAACTCCATTTCCAAATTTACAACCAATTTTTCCAGTTCTACAACTCCATATTAAAATTTACAACCCATTTTTCCAATTCTACAACTCCATTTCCAAATTTACAACCCATTTTTCCAATTCTACAACTCCGTTTCCAAATTTACAACACATTTTTCCAATTCTACAACTCCATTTCCAAATTTACAGCTCTATTTCCAATTCTACAACTCCATTTCCAAATTTACAACCAATTTTTCCAGTTCTACAACTCCATATTAAAATTTACAACCCATTTTTCCAATTCTACAACTCCATTTCCAAATTTACAACCCATTTTTTCAATTCTACAACTCCGTTTCCAAATTTACAAACCATTTTTCCAATTCTACAACTCCATTTCCAATTCTACAACTCCATTTTCTAATTTACAACCCATTTTTTCAAATCTACAACTCCATTTCCAAATTTACAACCCATTTTTCCAAATGTACAACTCCATTTCCAAATTTACAACCAATTTTTCCAAATCTACAACTTCATTTCCAAATTTACAACCAATTTTTCCAAATCTACAACTCCATTTCCAAATTTACAACCAATTTTTCCAAATCTACAACTTCATTTCCAAATTTACAACCCATTTTTCCAATTCTACAACTCCGTTTCCAAATTTACAACACATTTTTCCAATTCTACAACTCCATTTCCAAATTTACAGCTCTATTTCCAATTCTACAACTCCATTTAAAAATTTACAACCAATTTTTCCAGTTCTACAACTCCATATTAAAATTTACAACCCATTTTTCCAATTCTACAACTCCATTTCCAAATTTACAACCCATTTTTTCAATTCTACAACTCCGTTTCCAAATTTACAAACCATTTTTCCAATTCTACAACTCCATTTCCAATTCTACAACTCCATTTTCTAATTTACAACCCATTTTTTCAAATCTACAACTCCATTTCCAAATTTACAACCCATTTTTCCAAATGTACAACTCCATTTCCAAATTTACAACCAATTTTTCCAAATCTACAACTTCATTTCCAAATTTACAACCAATTTTTCCAAATCTACAACTTGATTTCCAAATTTACAACACATTTTTCCAATTTTACAACTCCATTTCCAATTCTACAACTCCATTTCCAAATTTACAACCAATTTTTCCAATTCTACAACTCCGTTTCCAAATTTACAACCCATTTTTCCAAATCTACAACTCCGTTTCCAAATTTACAGCTCTATTTCCAATTCTACAACTCCATTTCCAAATTTACAACCAATTTTTCCAAATCTACAACTTTATTTCCAAATTTACAACCCATTTTACCAATTCTACAACTCCGTTTCCAAATTTACAAACCATTTTTCCAAATCTACAACTTTATTTCCCAATTTACATACCATTTTTCAAGTTCTACAACTCTATTTCCAATTCTACAACTCCATTTTCTAATTTACAACTCATTTCTTCAAATCTACAACTCCATTTCCAAATTTACAACCAATTTTTCCAAATCTACAACTCCGTTTCCAAATTTACAACCCATTTTTCCAATTCTACAACTCCATTTCCAATTCTACAACTCCATTTTCTAATTTACAACCCATTTTTTCAAATCTACAACTCCATTTCCAAATTTACAACCAATTTTTCCAAATCTACAACTTCATTTCCAAATTTACAACCCATTTTTTCAAATCTACAACTCCATTTCCAAATTTACAACCCATTTTTCCAAATCTACAACTCCATTTCCAAATTTACAGCTCTATTTCCAATTCTACAACTCCATTTCCAAATTTACAACCAATTTTTCCAGTTCTACAACTCCATATTAAAATTTACAACCCATTTTTCCAATTCTACAACTCCATTTCCAAATTTACAACCCATTTTTCCAATTCTACAACTCCGTTTCCAAATTTACAACACATTTTTCCAATTCTACAACTCCATTTCCAAATTTACAGCTCTATTTCCAATTCTACAACTCCATTTCCAAATTTACAACCAATTTTTCCAGTTCTACAACTCCATATTAAAATTTACAACCCATTTTTCCAATTCTACAACTCCATTTCCAAATTTACAACCCATTTTTTCAATTCTACAACTCCGTTTCCAAATTTACAAACCATTTTTCCAATTCTACAACTCCATTTCCAATTCTACATCTCCATTTTCTAATTTACAACCCATTTTTTCAAATCTACAACTCCATTTCCAAATTTACAACCCATTTTTCCAAATGTACAACTCCATTTCCAAATTTACAACCAATTTTTCCAAATCTACAACTTCATTTCCAAATTTACAACCAATTTTTCCAAATCTACAACTCCATTTCCAAATTTACAACCAATTTTTCCAAATCTACAACTTCATTTCCAAATTTACAACCCATTTTTCCAATTCTACAACTCCGTTTCCAAATTTACAACACATTTTTCCAATTCTACAACTCCATTTCCAAATTTACAGCTCTATTTCCAATTCTACAACTCCATTTAAAAATTTACAACCAATTTTTCCAGTTCTACAACTCCATATTAAAATTTACAACCCATTTTTCCAATTCTACAACTCCATTTCCAAATTTACAACCCATTTTTCCAAATCTACAACTCCATTTCCAAAATTTACAACTCCACTTCCAATTCTACGACTCCGTTTACAACTCCACTTCCAAATCTACACCTCCATTTCCAAAATTTACAACTCCACTTCCAGTTCTACAGCTCCGTTTACAACTCCACTTCCAATTCTACAACTCCATTTAGAACTCCACTTCCAATTCTACAACTCCATTTCCAAAATTTACACTTCCACTTCCAATTCTACAACTCCACTTCCCTCCAAATCTACAACTCCATTTCCAAAATTTACAACTCCACTTCCAATTCTACAACTCCACTTCCAATTCTCCAACTCCATTTCCAAAATTAACAACTCCACTACCCAAATCTACAACTCCATTTCCAAAATTTACAACTCCACTTCCAATTCTACAGCTCCGTTTACAACTCCACTTCCAATTCTACAACTCCATTTACAACCCATTTCCAATTCTACAACTCCACTTCCAATTCTACAACTCCATTTCCAAATCTATAACTCTTCCAATTCTACAACTCCGTTTACAACTCCACTTCCAATTCTACAACTCCATTTCCAAAATTTACAACTCCACTTTCAATTCTACAACTCCGTTTACAACTCCACTTCCCAAATCTACAACTCCACTTCCAATTTTACCACTCCACTTCCAATTCCCCAACTCCATTTCCAAAATTTACAACTCCACTTTCAATTCTACAACTCCGTTTACAACTCCACTTCCCAAATCTACAACTCCACTTCCAATTTTACCACTCCACTTCCAAATCTACAACTCCAATTACAACTCTACTTCCAATTCTACAACTCCATTTCCAAATCTACAACTCCATTTGCAAAAATTACAACTCCACTTGCAATTCTAGAACAGCATTTACAACTCCACTTCCAATTCTACAACTCCACTTCCAATTCTCCAACTCCATTTACAACTCCACTTCCGATCCTACAACTCCATTTCCAAATTTTCTGCACATTTTTCCAAATCTACAACTCCAAGTTAAAAATGAAGAGGAATAACCAAGTTTATTTTATGTGAAATTACTTACCAAATGTAACAAAACATCCGCACAACTCAATAAAAACATCAAAATACTTTTTGTATTTATATGTATATATATTTTTCATTAAATAATGTAACATCGCTTTATTCTCACGCAAAGAACTATTTCTGTTTTAGTTTGCATTGGTTTTTGTTTTCCATAATTTTGCGATAATTATTATTGTTATTTGCTTGGAATAAATTATAACGTTAAGTTTACTTGCTTATTAGGCAATCACATACACGCAGACGCTGCATGCACGTCCACCAATGCATTATGCATACTATATAATTGCAATGAATTTCCGACGTGTCCTTGTCAAATTAGTCACTTCTCAATATATCATTTTACGCTATATGCAAAGTATCTGTATAATGTACCGGCTGTATTATATCTATATTAACGTTACAATTTACTTGTTTGTTTCTTTGTGGCAGTGGTAAATCAGAGTATTATCCATTCTAACGAATCCTCACTAATGTCGCCTCGCAATACATACGCTCGTGTCAGTTGGTTGGATGGGGCTTAGCTCCATGGCTTAGCTTGTCCGCTGCGTCTGCGTTGTAGGTATGGGTAACCGCAATAAGATATTGAGATATATACATATGTAAGTTGTTTAATTGTTTGGATTTCGTTCATATGTCATTATTGTGGGAGGACCAATAAAGAGCAAGGACCGTAAATAATCATTATTTGAGATTTTGAGGTTTTTACACGTTTTAATCAACAATTTAACTGGTCTTTATGCACTTTATAGACATGAATAAATAACAGTTAATTTGCTTTCCAGATTTGTTGAAATGCATATACTTTGTGGACAAGAGTAAAAAGAACGATATTTTTAAAATAAAAATCTCAAATGATGATTATTTACGATCCCTGTTAAAAAGGGAAAGGTTTAGCAAACGGAAACAATGTAGATTTACTTTAACTTTAATTTGTTCTTTTCGCTTCTTCTTATGGTGGGTTTTTGAAAATGATTTTAAAGTTCAATAAAATCGGTATTAATTTTGCACAACGCCCCGGGAAGAGTGTGATATTTTGCGATAGATCTATTCGGTATTGTTTACTTCCCTACTTGAAAACTCTTCTCCTTTTCGATAAGTTTTGAACTATTTTTTAATCTATTTCTTATTGCATTTTATTATTAAACTTGCATATTAAGTAGGTAGCAAATTGCTGGTGGTAATATTTTTTATTATTTCCTCTAATATTTCACTATTACTTTAAGGTTTTTTATGTTATCTCGATAAAGTTCAATGACGCGCTAGAAAAGGATCAACAAAAACGTTTCAACTGATCGCAAACATAAGGAAAACTTTGAGACTTTCTATGACTGGGGATCTTTTTTAAAATACTTTTGCTTGTATATTTCTTTTAGTTTGATGTCGATTTCTATGAACACTCTCTTCGGTTGCACAGGGAGTTTTTTGTTGTTGGTTTAGTTGTGTTTCGTTTTCTTTTTCTTTTATATGGTTTTCAGTCTTTTCAACAAATTGATTGCTTGGATTTTGTAAATTTGTTTGCTGGATTGTTCTTGTTGTGGCTGCTGTTGTTATTGTTGATGTTGGTGTTGCACCCGCCGCTTTTGCTGGTGATGACAGGATCTAAAGTTTAAACTAAAATGCATTGGCCTAACTTTGATGGAGTATGCTCATGATGTGTTGCACTTAGTTCTTAGGTGGGTCTCCCCATGTTTTGTTTTTTTGCTATATTACGCCTACTATAACTCGCTAAAGCCCTGAGCATTTGGTCTCCATTTACTTGTTAAGTTCGACAGAAAAATCTTTGCCTCAATTGCAATCGCTTGCACATTGCTCGAAAAACTCGAAAATAAATCCCCGTTAAGCGTCAAAGGGTTCTCAAAGTGGGGCGGAAATGAAGTGTACATGGGCGTGGCAGGAAGGATCTATCTGGTTCGAATGTAAACGAAAGTGTAGGCACATTTAATACACACATAAATTCACACATTCTTTATATATACTTAGACGTATTCATTATACAAATAATCCATTATCCAAACCGTAATTCAACTGAGCTCCCTTTTAAACTATCCGAGATTTCCGTTATTGCCGTGGAATCGGTCGGTTGCAGATCCGATTTCGAGATCGAGTTTTGAACATAACTTAAATGGAATCTGAATTCTGCCTACGTATTCGATTCTATTCGTACGCGGATAATTTTTGGTAGGCTTAGTTACTTTCGCTAATATTTATAAGTGTTCGATATTGTGCAATACATTTCGGTAAATTAGTTCGTTTCTGTTTCATTCACTGTTAACTAACTTTAATGCCTAATGTGTTAGCATATTTATCAATTCATTTGACGTTGTCATGCGCCAGCTAACAGTTGGATTGGTTTTCGTAAAAGTTATTTAATGTTTAGTTAGTTTTAGTTATTCTATATTAAATGCATATACATTTTGTAGTACTTGGTTGCCTGCCAATCGTGTTAAGGTTAGTTTGGTATTTATCAATGTATATTATGTAGTTCATGCTCGGTCGCTATTAATTTAGGTTTGTATACATACTTCAATACGTGAATACTTTGCGTTAACAAATTACCCTCTTCTGGTTGCTTCGCCCAGCTCCAATTTGGTTGCGTTACTTGCTTTAAATGTACGATATGACACAGTGATATATATTCCATAGTGTATGCTTACGAATTCTAAGTACAAGTACAAATACATACCGAACAGGATCGGGGCAGGGAAGCAGCTCTAAGCAGCAAAAGCCACAACAGCAGCCCTCGCAGTCGCAGCCGCCAGTTGTTCCATAAACCACCACCAACTGGACACTACCGATTCTCCACCAACTTCCACAACTTAGGGCTAAGCTAACTACGACTATGAAGCCACAACAGCTCGCAAGTAAACCAAAGTGTTGTTCTACTCGTGATATCCTACAACTAATCCGCTACTTTATTTGGTATATGTAGAATATGTATCGAATTTGTAACCTTCGGGTCGTTCAACGATTAAAGCTTTCGGGGTGAAGAAATTATGAAAATCGGGTTAGGGAGCTACGGGGGGTATTAGAGTATTACTTGTGTTTAAAACGAAGGCGACAGCTTTAGTAACATTGACTTTTCTTTGGTATTTACGACTTTAAAATCCTAAAATCAATAAACAGGTTGGACTGCTAATATGGCTTGCAGGTCGTGACCATTGCAAATTAACTCTTCTGTCTGGCCATTACATTTACTTCCGACTTTTATTAAAACTCTACTTGCTATATGCAATAATTAACAATTTACTATATAAAAATCAATTTGCCTCAACTATATGGTTGCCTATATTGTGGTTCCTAACTCTTTGGTTTCATAATCATGTTTAACACTTCAAATGCTCTCTATTCGTATAAAATAAATCTGACAACAATTAACTGAATAATTTGCTATTTAAAATCTTAACGCATTTTCGGACTCATCAACCCACATTTGGTATTAATTGTTAAAGTCAAATAATGCACATTCTTGCTTAAAGTTGTGCTTAATTTGGAATTAGGGTTATATAGTTTCGATTAATTATGAAAAATTGAATATGAATTTGAATATGAGAAGATGACATTATTTTTTATCAATTGATTTTGTTGAGTTGCTGGAGGAAGTTGTACTTGCATGAAGACGAATGATTATGCATTTTTGGTTGCTAACATAAATTTATATCGGTGTCTGGATCTAATTTCCTAGCTTTTCTATTTCCTTTTCAGCCAACTGTTATTTTATTGCTTACGATGCTCCCTGTTTAACCTAGTTTAAATAAAACGTGTATTCAACGACGATACCTATGACTAGAGCCTAGCTTTAACTGACGATTATTGACTGCCAGACCAGATAGGTAAATTTCTTTCTGGGTATTTACAGTTCCGTAGCATTTGTATTTGAAAGTATTTTATTTTATGCGGTTGAGTTCGTTATATGCTCGTTTAAATGTAATTTGCTATATGATTGGGATTAAGCACAGTTGGTCATACATTATAAAAAGCTTTGAAAACATAACGGCTGTAAAATTCTTCTTAATCGCAAAGCGTGTTTAATTTGTTATTTTGTAGTATATATTTTTAGCATTACTTTTCTTTTTTTTTTAGATTTTTCATCGCTTGTATAATTATGTTTAAATGTTTATAAATATTACACTGTACTGTTGTATATTAGTGTGTATATCAGACTTTGTTTCATACAAAAACTAAGCACATCGATTCGTCAATAAATTCATGTATTTGTATTTTGCATGTTAGTATCCGTGTGGTGTCTGCATATGTGGAGCCCCAAGTCGAGAGTTTGATCTGAAGCGATCGAAATATATGCATTTTCTTCAGCACTGTGGGTCTTTTCGATCAGAACTGATCACATATGCACGTGTATATAGAGTTATATATAAGAGGCGTAGAGAAACATTTTAGGCAAATACATTTGTTGCTCAAAAAGTCGTCCAATATTTAATTTAGTTAGGTTGTCATAGTCGTGTATATTGGTTTTACAGATTAGAGAGTTGGTCACATTGAAACACGCACATAGCAGATGCTGTGTCTAGAGATTAGGGCTAGGAAGTGGTGAACTAGCAGCTTTCCTTATATACAGTTTCCACTGCGGAACGGGAGTATAAAAAAATATGTTATCAACACAATTGATTAGAGGCGTGTAAGTGTTTATAGAAATTGTTTGTTTGTAAAAATTAAATGCGCGATCAACCTTTTGTTTAAGTTTTTCTCTTTATATTATTTAAATATAATTTGTTGTATACGCTGTTTATGTTTTAGTTCATTCAAAAATACTGTTCGTAAATGTTATTGAATTCGGATTTATGTTAGCTGAATGGCTGCCCACTGTCGAGCTTACAGAAGTATTGTAGCTACCAAGGATAAGCTTCCATTAAGTATTTTAAACACACATGAATGCACACTGTGTATTACACAGAGCTCGACGACTATATAATTTATTTTTTGCTTGCTTTAGTGGATTGCCATCAAGCTTCCATTGGTTAGGGACTTGACTCTATGCTCTTTGCAAAATCGATTGGATTATTGATAGGGGTTTAATATTCGCTTATCTTTCGTATCTTGTAAATTTGTAAACTGTAAATACTTCAAAAGAACACTTTCAGCATTGTATGGCATTCATATTCGTACTCTTTCGTTAAGTAACTACGCCTATACGCAGTGCAATAAACCTTTCGAACGATATTATTTACAAGGTAGATGATTGGAAAGAACTAAAAAAGTAGGACAAACTTTGGACACATTTAGAATAAGAACTTATAAGCTGTTAAAAATCTTTTCATGTTGCATTTTCGTACGCGTATAAACGTAGTTTCAGTTAATTTCCTTCTGTCTAACCGCAATGAATAGCTTTTTTCCTACCTCACTTGATATCGTCGTACTCATCGCTACCGTTCTTCGAGTCTCCCGACGCCTGGAAAGCCGTCATTACAGCCGCCCTGTGGTGTCCCTTGTCCGCGCCCAGCTTTTCCTCACCGTGGCTATTGGCCCCATTGCTGCCCGGCTTCTCGTCGAAGGCGTCCAGGAAGGGGTTGGTGGCCGCGTACTGGGCCCTATAGGTTCCCAGGGTGTGGTAGTTGTTGCCCCCGTTGGCGAAGGGTCGCGAACTGCCGCCACTGGAGCTACTGCTCGTGTAGAAGTCGTAGCTGTTGGTGGAGCCCGTCATGGAGCTAACACCGCTGCTGCTGGCGGTTCCCGCTCCACTGCCACTTCCCGCCGAGGAGTGGTAGGAGGAGCTGTTGGTCGATCCGCCGAACAGAGCTGCCCCAGTGGAGGTTCCGTTCTTGGGCAAAGTGCCGTACAGATGCATGGTATTGTGGTTGCCATTGCCGTTGGTGGTGGTAAAGGGGCTCGGATTGGCGGACGAGTGGTTGTGGCCACTGCCGTTGCCGTTCCCCATGCCACTACTGCCGAAGAGCGTGCTGCCATAGCTCCGGCTCTCGGAGTTTGCTCCCGAAACCGCTCCCAGCCCAGATCCCCCTCCTCCCATTCCCGACTTACTGCTACTGCTGCTGCCGGAGTTCCTGGATTCGTTTGAGGTCGCAGTGACGCCACCTACGTAGGTCTTGGTCTCCGTTTCCGAGGACGATGAAGAGGCCAGGCTGTCGAACAGTCGACGACCCGTGGAAACCAGCGAGGACGAGGCAGTGGTGCTGCTCACCTTGCTATCCTTGCTATCCCTACTGGATAGTCGCGAGGGAGATGACAACTTCTGGCTGTTTGAATTTGTATTCGAGTCCGCTGAGCTGGTGGTGTACTTGCTTATAGCTCCAGTGGTAGCACCCGGTTTGGTCGATGATCCCGGGCTTGGTGTCACCAGCTGGTAAGTACCCTTGGGTAGTCCGTCGCCACCCGGAGGCGAGGGCGAGTCCGGGGACTTGATCGGCGTAAACTGTACACGGGGCTCCCGCTTCAGATACTTGGACATCAGCTGGCTGGTGGTCATGGCCTGCGATTGGGCCAGCAAGGCGTTTGTGGAGGCCGAGGACTTGTAGGAGACCAGGTCATCCGAGTCGTCCGACGAGGTGGTCGGGGCCGAGGTGGCCGTCGACCCAGCACTGAGAACAGTGGCCTGTGATGAGCTGGAGCTGGATGTGGCGCTCGACTTGTTGCGCATGGCTTTGTAATCCTCGCCGGCGGCGGAGAGGCCACCTGCATTCGCCTTGCTGGGCGTGTAGCTACTGCTGTTGCCAAAGCTGCTCTTCTTGGCTTCCAGACTGGAGTACTTGGAGGTGTAGCTGGATTCCTCGTTCACCAAACTCTTGGACTGCGCTTTGTGCGGTTCATAGAAGTCCACGTTTCCCCTGCGAGACGCCGTGCCATTGCTCTCCTTGCCGCCCAAGGAAGAGCCTGCCTCCGCTTGGGTGGTGGGCGTGGTGATTTCCACAGGGGCGTCCTTCTGCAGCGGTGGCTTCTTCATCACGATGGAATAGGGGCTAGATGGTTGGTCGACGATCTTGACTTGCTTCACCGAAATGGGCGAAGCACCGCGCTTGATGGTATCCGTGCCTACGGGGGATTACAAGAGCATTAGCCACGTATTATTTTAGACTGCAGTAGCGAACTTAGAAGCACTGACTTGAAGGGCCATTTCTGTTCACTTACTTTTACCCGATCCGGATCCGGAGCCCGAGCCCGTCGATGCCGAACTACTGCCGGGGGAGGGTGTGCCTGGAAGTGGCAGTGGCGATTGGTCGGGAATTGCTGAGCCCACTGAGGCCCCCAATTGATAGGGCTGCAAGAGATTAGCAAGAAGAAAGAAAGGAGCAGGGTGGAACCCGCCAAGGTGATCAAATGTTAATCGGCTTCAAGCTTCAAGCGGCTTTCAGGGGAGTTAAGGGCGCAATACGTGCTAATTCTTTGTTTTGGGTTGTGCAGAGAATTTAAAATTTTGAATCGGTTCGGGGTGTATTTAGTGTTAGAGTGTTAATGGGTGTTTTCATGTGGGTAGTAATTGTGCGACACATACAGCGGACACGTTTATAGACAATAGACAAAAGACAATTTCACTTCGTGCGCGGTGCGATTCTCATACAGGTGACGGCCAATTCGTTAACCAATTAGGTATTTTTAATGGAATTCGGGTTGGGAATGCTGGTTGTGGATAGGTGGCGGGTTAGGCCTAAGCGTGAGGTGTATGGCATGCAAACAAGGTAAAAGAATCTATAAAAGTTTGCCTTTAAAATAATATATGTTAACGATAACAAGGAATTTATTAAAAATACTTTAGCATACATTTATCCCTCTTATTAGTCCCTTTTAAGTTAAAGGCCAACTTTGTGCATGAACGGGGTGCAGGTTACTTAAATCGGGTTTACTGGACAGTGAACTATTATGATAGCTGAACTGAAAAAGCAATACTTAACCCCGAACAAAAAATGTCAAACTAAGAAGTTTGAAAGAATTTCAACGGAATGTCGGCGGAACATTAAATGCTCAGAAATATTTCCCTCCCGTCTTTAAGATGTTCTATACTACATCAGATGTGCTTTTGGATTTTGGGAAAATCAATACGACAAGGTGTCGGGATGTTTTGGGCTGTGAACGTCAACCAACGAGGGAAACTGAAATCTATTCCTGGGACGAGGGTGTAAGCAATTCACAAATTAAGTTTGGATGATGAAGTTTTTACAATGGCAGTGGCACACGAGTTTAATGAAGCATTTACATGATGTGTTCTTTCATTTGGCATGTGTTGGCATACAGAGCTGTATGATTTACTTATTGGATTAGAGTGGATACATGTGGTAGAAATAGTCGTTACGAGTATGTTTATTTGTTACCAGTAGTGGGCCAATCATGCTTTACACGCCGTTCAACATTTATCACATCGCTCAAATCATCATCATTACCATCGCTTATATCGTACTGATATGTTAGATTATATAGATAGATATATGTAGTATACGTATATATTTATATCACAATTACAACGTCTATCGATCTGGGATCACAGCAAATTATGATTTACTTTACTATATTTCTTTTGCGTTGGTATTTCGTAAAAAGCACAAATCAAACTGACAACAGATAATGCTTAAGATATGTTTAATAGTTCAGAGAGTAAATATTTTTGAATTATCATCTTTTGCAGAACGGTCAACAGGAAAAGTTAGAAGAGCAAGAAAATGTTTCTGAATATGTTTGAAGTGTTTGTATGGATCTGGATTGTGTTGAATGAATAATAAGATATTTAAAAAACTTATCAAGTTAATCTTTTTTCCCAATCTGTCAAAACCTCATTCAAATTATGAACATAAGCTAAAAATATCAAAAATGTATAAAAGTTATACACCAATTTACAAATTAAAACTTGTAACTAAACACAAACTAAAAATCACTCAAACTTGTTTAAGATCTTTTAAAGAAAATAATAGTTGTCACTTGGACTTAAAGAAAATAAAGCCTAACCAAAGTTAGATGAAAGTAGGAGTGCGAAGTGTATTTAATGTGGATGAGTTAGTTGTATGCAAGTATTTCTGGTTAAGTATTCTCGTGTTGCAATCATTGTTTCTCATTTTCGCGGCGTCGCCTCTGCGCTGTTGTTTTTGGTGGCTGTGTTGTATGGATTCTGTTTGTTTACCTGTTGCACCGCTTGTTGCAAGGCTCGATGCGATTGAGCTAACTGACCCACTACTGATTGATACAGATGACTGTTGGCTGTGGCTGAGAGCTGAGGATGGCCTTGGGAGAGTATGTTGGTTACCGAAGTGGACGAGCGCAGAAGATTGCCCGCCGCCATGAGCTGCGCCTGCTGCTGCAGTAGAAGTTGCTGTCTGTCCGCTGGCAACGCACTGACTTTGCTTCCACGCTGCCCTGTTGACTCGCCGCGCCGACCTGTCTACATAGGACTCTGTATTAATCAATATTAATGTGGACGCGATTCGAGGTGTTCACGGTGGCTGAGTGGGGGAGGTGATTGAGGCGTACGGTTGCCACTAAATCGCTGCCAGGACATAAAACCTTTTCTTCTGTTTAAAGATCCAATATTGGGCGTTAGGAAACTATAATTAGTCATTAGCGTCGATAATTTTTAAATCTTAGCCAGTTGTAACTGTTTTTTGAAGAAGTAGTAAAATTACATCGCCATCAGACCACATTTTAAGAAGTTCCTTCTTTTACATGCTAATCTGTTTCTAGTGTTTAGGGTCTAATTTAACATTTTGTATTAAAAAATTAATTCTTTTATCCGAGTCTATTTAGCGTAGACGTATATCACATATCACATTTCAAGATAGAGTTTTTGTATATCACATTTTTTGTAAATCACATTTATCACGCTCTGAACATTAACCAAAAGTTAAACCAAAAATCATTTCATCTAAGTCACTTCTTTACTAAATAAACGATATGTTAAACTTCTTGGACCAGTGGACTATCCAATACTTTTTCTGACACGAGCTTTACATGCATATACAGCAAATTGTATGTCTTAGTTTAACTCAAAAATCGCACCGATAGTGGCAACCGTGGTGGTGGGTGGGTGTTTGGATGATTGGGGCTGTGTGTGTTCGTGTCTGAGTTTTGATTGCATAACAGCTAAGAGTGAGAACGGTTTTCGTGCCGCACTTGAGATTGAAAAAAGAGAGCGAGCGGGTGGCAGAGATCCTGACTTGGAACCGCTGCTGATGCAGCAATGCATTCAAAGCCGGAACGGAGGAAGGAATCAAACTCTTGCAGGTGTGGTGGCTATTTTCGGTGTGTGTGTTTGTTGTTCGGGGCACTTTGGGTTGCTCTGAGATGGGGGATTCGGGATCGGACGCTGGGAGTACGTTACCTGAAGCAACGCCGGCCATATTGCTCATGCTCCCGGCGGTGGCCAGGCCGCCCATCATCGCCCCCGCAGCGCCGCCCATGTGCTGCGCCATCTGCTGATGCTGCGCCTGCGGCTGCGGCCAGATCTGCAGCAGATACTTGAGTACCGCGATCGGCTGGGCGTGATCGATGTCAGCGCCCGGCTGCGCACTCGCCGAATGCAGCATCAGCGGTGGGCCCATCACGGTGGCCAGCGCCTGGGCGGACATCTTGTTCCGCTCCGAGTTGGAGACGACCAGCGAGAGGTGGTCCAGCAGGAATACCAGAGTGGCCTGTAAAATATGTTTGAGAATCTACTTTTAAAATGGAAAATGGCTAATGCTTACCCTGTTTGCCCGCGGCAGGCAGTCGAGTATGCTAAGCATCAGTTTCGCATTGCCTTCGGGGTCATCTGGCAGGCAGACAGCTGAAAATGAAACAGAACAATTAAATTAGCATTATCTCCAATCAACAAGAAACCAATTTAAGTACCCAGGGCATCCACCGTCATCTGGAAGAGACAGCGCGTGAACAGCGGCTCCGGCAGCTCCCTGAGGTAATCCTTGAGCACGCCGGTGATGACGTTGATGTCAGGAACATGTTCCGGGCTCAATTCCACGGCACGGCTGTTGCGCTCGAAGGCCTCGCGCAGCAGTCGCTTCTTGGTGGCGGAGCCGCACAGTCGGTACAGCCCGATTATATCGAGCCCCCGGCGCTCCACCTCCTCCACACAGCGCCGCAAGACGATAGGCACCGGTGCACTGCCGGGCGCGTTCTTCGACTCGCGATTGACCACCGTCTCCAGGTCGGCGCCGAAGAGGGTGGGGTAGCCGGCCCTCAAGCTGGGCAGCCCCCTGCGCTTGTAGAGGGCCAGTGGGTCCGTGTGCCGCATGCGAATGTATATCGTGCCCCGGGGCTCAACCTTCAGGGCCAGCTGGTGGAGTGGCGACTGCCGGAGGATCGACGACAGCGAGATGGCCCCTCGGTAGCACAGCTTGTGCCTGTGCTGCGGATCCCACGAGTAGACCAGCACGTCCAGCTGCTTGTTGCCCACCAGGTCCAGCTCGAAGGACTCGTCCCAGTCGAACTGCAGGTCGCCCGAACGCACCACTGTGCGCGCCTTGTGCACGCGGTCGCACTCGATGACGCAGTAGAGGTCTCGGGTCTGGCCAGGTGGCACCTGCCCGCCCTGCGCTCCCTCCGGAGCTGTCCTCAGGCCGCGACCTGCGAGCAAGTGGATCCACAACATGCCGGATATCCCACCGATATCCACGATGGGCTTGTCCAGCTTGTACTTGGCAAACTCCGCCGGGTTGATGTCGATCTGGCGGTGTGGCCGAGGCAACGTGGCACTTGGCGTGGGGGCCGGACTCTGGTGGCCACCGGTGCTGAGAATGCTTCCGCTGGGACTGGCTGGACCGGCGGACAGCTCCAGTAGCTGCCTCATGCGCCGTATGCTGGGCGACCGAATGGAGCCAGCTCCGCCGATGTGCTGCGAGGACATGGATCTCACAGGCAGTGCGGAGATCGGACGAGTAAGGCCCATGTTCCTGTCGAGAGTGCCCGTGCCGAGGATGTGGGTTCTACTGGAGTAGATGCTCTCCGTCTGTGGGGGAATAATATTATTATTATTTTAATTTAAATGATGATAGTGCCATAAAATATACGTACATTTCTCAGCGCATCGTGGATGTTTTCGGCGCTGCAGGAGAATCGCTGTGCCCGCGGCTGGGCAAACATGTCCCGAGTCATTCGCATTTGCTCCGCAATCGCCGAGCTGCTGGGCGCCCTCCTCAACCAGGCGCGGTACTCGTCCGCCGTGAATATCGACGGACTGGCTGTGATCCGCTGTCGCAGATCCCTGCCCCTCCGCGCATCGAATTCAGGTGCCGAAGTGTTCCCATCGTTTTCGTCCACCAAGCGATCGCCCATCCTGGAGCGAATGCCCTGCAGTCGCACTCCTGGTCGTTCCCGGGGCAGGGAATTGAATTTATTGAGGTCCGCGGCGCCGGCCAACAAGGCAGCCGCTGCCGCTGCGCCCACTCCTCCGCCGCCCGCTCCTCCCGCTCCCCTTGGCATGCTGCCGATGGCGGGTCTGTTGTAGTAGTAGTAGCTCGGCCTGGGACCAATTGTTGCCTCCGTGTCGCTGGAATAGTCCAGGTTTGGTCGGGAGCGACGGGTCAGCGACTGAGCTCCGCCCGCCGGGGGTCCGTACTTGGAGACACCGGCTCTCTGTTGATCGTAGCGGCCGTATCGTCCCAGGGTTCCACCCACTCCCACTGGCATCGGAGCCCCTCCAGCCGTTCCTGGCTTCAAACTGGAACGCAGAAGGGAGTGCCGTCCCAGGGAGTTGGAGTAGTCGGCGTATTCAACGCGAGGTAAGTGCTGATCGGAGCCAGATCGCGGGAAACGGGCGTGCTGTTGGGCGAGACCCACGTTCCCGGTGCCCGTGGACATTCTTCTCGAGGGACCCACGGGCGGACCGCCAGGCTGCCCGGGATAGAAGGCGTGCACCTTCTCCGCCAGGCTCTCCAGGGTGCCAGCATTCTGGTAGTAGGCGTGTGAGGGAGCAAAAGCATGGCCCTTTGTTGGCTGCTCCGTGATCACAGAGGATGGTGGCGGTGGTGGCTTGTAGCCCCAGTTGGGCGGCTCGCCCATGGCTCCTCCGCCTCCTCCTCCGCCGCCGCCGCGGGTATTGTAGTACATGTCCAGCTGCTCCGACTGCGGACTGTAGTTGTTCAGCCCGAGGCCTAGGCGGGATCGCGACTCCGTCATCTCGCGACCATCTCCTGGAAGAAATAGAGGAGAGGCAACCGATTAGCCTGACGAACACGGCGCCCACTTTAAACTACCTGTACGTCTTTCACGTGATGAGCGCGGTCTCGGAATCCGGTCCGTCTCGTCCAGATCCTCGTCCCGCAGGTCCCGCTTGATGACCACAACCGGTGGCGGTTTCTGCTCCGGACGCGAGAGCGTCGGCGGTCCGGGGGATCCTGTGCCGCGATTGCCACGCCGCTGCCGTATCGCCAGCACCAGGCGGCGCGGAATTGACATAATGATGACGACGTCGTCCAGGGACATGTGGGTCACGTCCACCAGGTTGACGGCCAGGATTTCATCGCCCACCTGAAGGGAAGGAGATTTTTGAAGGAAGGTCTCTAACATTTGCAATAATCTTACCCGCAAACAGCCGCTGTTGTAGACGGCCGACTCGAGAGCAATCCGCGAGATAAACACGCCATCCGTTCGATCCGCGCCATTGCCCTCGCGGATGTAAAGACCCAGCGTTTGCCCTGGCCGCTTGACGATCTCCACCAGCTGCACCGTGTGCCGTCCGTCCGCCTTGTTCATCAGCTTGTGGGCGGCGTCCACCGCCTGCTTGCTGCCCATGCATCGCGGCTCCAGGACGCGCACGATCATCTCGCCGCGCCGCTCCACCGCCTCCAGGGCCGCCGCCGTGTTGGGGTCGTGGTCATTCTCGACGGCCTCTATCTGGCGGAAGATCTCCGAGCTGATGCCGCTGACCTTGCGGAAGTCGCCCTGCAGCATCACCGGGTCCTTGACCCCGGCGGCATTCGACAGGCTCCCGCTGGGACCGCGGTGGTTGCCCTGGTTGCCGTGATGCTGCTGGTTGCCATGGTGCTGCTGGTTGCCGTGGTGTTGCTGGTTGCCCAGCGAGGACAGCTGGTTGGCGGGCAGCGGGCCCGGAGGTGCGCGTCCCGGGCTGGCAGTGACATCAGGAACTGATCTTCCATTCTCCTTTAAAAACGAAAAATGGGTAAATAGTTTCTCGTTAGTTTTATATTCATACTCGGCTGGCGCTGGGCTTTTATGCAAATCTCGAGTGCCACGCGCTACTGCATAAATTAAACTAATTGTTACCCCAGCTGCTGCAGCTTCTGCACTTGAGCTTCGCTAAAAGATTTAGCTTTGCATTAATTAAGCTAATTTGGCGCTGTTTAGTTCTACAAACGCTTCCTGGGTGTATTCTGCAGAGAACCAATTTTACTATCAATTTATTTGTGCAAACTCATGTAATTTAGTTATGTACTTTTCTAAATCGATACCTAAAATCTTATACAAACTATTCAATTTTATTACAGGTCTTAAAAAGAAACCCTTTTAATTCTCAGATTATTTCGTGATTTATTTTGCAATTAAATTAAATCTGATTAAAGTTATTAACTTCAAATATAATTTATATTTAGAAAAGTAAAAGAAGTTTACATATTGGTGCTTGGTTTTCCAAAGCGTAGAACTTTTCAGAGTGACAAACTCAATTTACTGGCAAATGGTAATCCTATGTTTTCCCATCAAACTCCCCTCTTATTCTGCAGTCGCCCTAGGAAGTATGCAATAATTATTTCGTCACTCATTTGGCGCTGACTTGGGGCCACTGTAATTTCTGTCAGTGCCACATCACTCGCTCGCAGCGTCATGCAAGGGACTCCAGGGCGACTGTACCCGGCACGTGACGTTCGCCGATGATGTCACACGGTCAGAAGTTGATGGGGGAAAGTCCAAGCCCTTCCGCTCTTCCCGCCGGAAAGGGAAGGGGGCAACCCACAGGCCACGGCAACAAAGTGCAACTTTGATTTTCCCCGGATTGTGTGAGGGACGCCCATAATATTGGTTTTAAATGAAGTTGGCTGGCGCAAGCTAAGCAAAGTTTTTAATGGATTAATACTGGGAAAGGGGTGTGCGGGTGGCCTCACAAATTGCGGTTGGGCAGCAAAGTTGCACTTGCCGCCCAACAGCAGCCACATCTCCTCAAGTGACCCTCAACTCGGCCCTGCGGTTGCCAAAAATCATGTTCGCAACGGTCACCAAAAGAAAAAAAAAATAGAAAGAAATACAGGGAAAGAAGAACACTTTGAAATTGCGAAACTTTGACATGTGTCGGTGACTGTCTGCCCCCAGTTCCCAACACCCACTGTCTATCCACTATCCACTCCTCATCCTTCTCCTCCCCCTCATTGTTGTTGCTGTTGTGTAACTTTGCCAAACTTGAAACAGCAGCAGCAACGAGAGCAGATGTCGTTAGGTCGGAAGTTTGGTCCTTCGCGCCTGCTCCGTCCATTTGCTGTTAGTCAAATAGGCATTATTATACTTGTGCTCTCTGAAAATCTGTGTTCACTGGGAAAAATAGGTAACACAGCCCTATGTTGATATCTAAGAATATTTTGTATTTATAACAAATAATTTACAAGTAAATATAAACTTGTACATCTAACTAAATATGAAGTAGTTTCATGTTTTTCGCACACTTCCCTTGCCACTTCTTATGCCTAACATTCGCAGAATATGGGCCATGTAGAGAGAAACTTTAGCTTTCCCTCAATCTTATGTCCTTTGGGCAATCGCTGAAAAACTTTCTGGCCAACTGGCATTAAACTATTAAAGTCTGTTTACTGTAATGGTATTTCGGTGTTTGTTTGCACTTTACCAACTGCAAATGCATAACCAAATAAATAATTCAAGCGAAATGCCGAGGCATCATTAACACACAGACCGCAAGGCACGAAAAAGTGTACATTTGCGCTTTCTTCCTCGACGAGAACTCCCATTTGCGTGAGTGTGTGAGGGAAAACTGGGCGTGGTCTTGGCCGAACAACTGTATTCAATAAAAAGGACTTGCCAGGCGGCACAAAGGACAAGAAGGCGGCACATTGTTGATGGCTTCCCATTGTTGTTGCTGTTTGCTAACGAGAACGCCGCTAGTGCAGCAACAAAAACAATAAATATAGATGGTGTGCATCGCGTGCAGGTCTGCTTAGGCCAGAGGATCTTTGGGAAAGCAGAGGAGCGGGTCCTAAATGGACACATGAAGTGCCAAGCCAACAGCAAACACCCTCCGTCCGAGGCTGTCAGCGGGAAATTTATTCACCCACGTGTGGGCAGTCTGACCCTTTTTCTCCTTTCCCGCACCCCTTGGAACGCGTCAAGTTCGGTATAGTCATTCCCCAGACCTGCAACACTTTGTTTGACACTTGAACAACTTTAAAACTTTATTTCATTAATTTTTAATGTATGTTTGTGGTCTAAAATGTTTAAATAAAATTCACAATCTGCTTTCAATAAATGTCCACTTTATTATATATTTACCCTCGAGTAACCGGTTTTGCAGGCCTATTTTAAGAGTACATATACGAAACTAGACTCCTTGTCTCGTATTCTTTTCTTGTGAATTTCAGCTGCATAGCCTGAGGTGCTTTCCACTCACTTTGCGGCCATAAGTTATTTACAGCGAGTCGCGTACTTAATTAGTAAGTGCATAGTTTATTAACCGGCAAATCCAATAAGTTAGGGGAGTAAGAAGAGGGACATTGCCTGCCGAAGCAGCGGAGGAGTGCTGCTGCGGCAAATGCAAATTACGAGGGCGGGCTTACATTAAGCGTCTTTAGTCAACGTCTGGCGCACATGTGACTCACGGAAGACCGAGGGCTGAACCCTCTCTTGGGGGCTGAGGACTGGGCTGCCTGTTTAAACTCATTTCAACTTCATTATGTTGTTGCTGCTGCTGACTAAGCAGCGAGCCTACGGAAACCACCCAGACCCACCCCCTTTATTCGCCCCCCGCCGGGTGACGACAACTAATTGAAAATCCTCAAGACATCACATATTGAGGACTGACTTTGGCAAGCTTTTTTAATTATGGATGATTCTTCTGACTGGCAGTTTCTGTTGGGAGGAAAAACTAATTTGGAAAGGACCTTACGCCAGAGCGAGAGGGGCGATGGGGCGAGGGAGCGAGAGGGATGGAGGAAGCCATTAGAGGAAGTTGCGTGACAACACAAATCAATAAAATCATTTTAGTGCCTCTACAGCCAAATAAAAAATAAACACCCGAAAACGGAAATCGACTAAAATTGTAATTATGTCAGCGCAGACGCCATTAACTGCCATAAACTATCAGTGAGGAAAGCAGTCTTGGATGGAAGGTAAGATGTGGCAAGATATTTAAAATATATATCTAAAAAATCAAATAATCAATTTAATGTGTCGGAGAGCAAAGAACTTCTTCATCTAGTAAGGAGTTACTTTCAATTCCCAACAATCGCAACACTCTCACGTTTTCCCTCAGTGTACCCAGTTGGGTCTAATCATTTCGGAAGGTCCGAATGCTATGGAAGAGTGCGTCATTTCCCTGGCCAGGTTAATAATTGACTAGCCATAATTGTAATGACTGAGCCCAACTTCGTTTCCAGCCAGAATTGCTTCTGTTTTCCGGGGGAGGTTGACTTGCCTCTTAGTTCTGCCTCCCCTCCCCACCCATTCCCCGTTTTCCTCGGGTGATTGATTGTCCGACGCATTGATTGATTGACAGAGCGTGTGATTTAGCATGATGTGCGATCCCTTTCCCTCGCCTTTGTCATTTCATCCGGACGCTGCTTAGATGGCCCAAACAAAAATTAGAATAATTGCCTTGGCTTTGCGGCCATTTGGATTGATGAAATTGATTTTGTTTTGCCAACGTCGAGTAATTAATAACTCTATACAAAATAGCAAGTCATGTTATTTGTCTAATGGTGCTCAAACTGATCGAATTACTTGGCCAGCGGAAGGAGGGCTAAAAGCGGCCCAGAGTTCTCGGAACATTCGTCTCGCCCATACAACTTTTAATGGCCATAACGTGCTTTCGACTTAACCACTAAAATTTTCCACCCAACATGAATGCTTCACGTTCTGGGGAATAACTTTCAGGAAATCCACCACAGCATTTTGTTAACAATTCGTTGTATAATTTGTTCTCGAAAACAAATTGTATTCCGGTCCGCACGTGGATCAAGAAATTGTTGTTCTACTCCGGGGGCTTTGGCTTTGCCTTAGGCTTTCATTTGGCATTCATAACCGTTCTCCACACAAAACAATTTCCTTGGGCCAAACTATTCCGGGCAAATAATAGAACAATGCTGACTAAACCGAGCCGTACCGAAACCAAAACCGAATTCCACCTGAGCCGCAAACAAAGGCTGGATAATTATAAATTTAAATGGCCAGTGGAACTCCCTGGGCGGCGCCTCCATGCCAATTACCCGTCACTCGGCTCCCTCGTCCGGAATTCACCGAATCCACTGACAACGATTACAATTAAATGCCAAATGCACAACGTTCCGCCGCCATGTTAATAATAGTTGTCAGTTGCAGCTGCGCTAATGTCAAAATATGTGGCACAAGACCAGAGAACCGGGCACATTCACATTCTCTGCCAGCGAACAGGAGCCTTTGCTCGACTCGAATCAGATTGGATTGCTTTGGATTTGGCTTTTGGCTGGTGCAGGGGGCGCCAGTCGAGATAACCGCAAATTAAGGCAAACAACAAGGCAACAACCACGACGACAACACAAGTGACACAAGCCGCATTGTGGCGGTGACTCCGACAGCCGAGCAGCCTGAATGGCTGAATGTGAATGAATATGGGTAGGGGTAGGGCTATGGGAGTCAGCACTTTCATGGGCACAGCACAGCACACCCGGCGTATACGTGATTTATTGATTAAATTTAAATTTGCCCGGGAGCAAACAATGGGGCATGCCAAGATGGCGTCAAACGCATTCCAAGCATCGCATTATGCAATTAGATCCGGGTCGCTTACAAACACCCACACAAACATGCACAGCTAAGCCGAGTGTCAGGATATCAGGGCATCAAAGACCTTAAGCCTCCATCCAATCAAAAGTGTCGAGCAGAACAGGATGAAGCGTGAAGATATTCAGCCCGAAAAGCTGGATAAGAGTGCAGGACAAACCTTTCACTGG